GGGTAAGAACGGTTCTATTATTAATCAGAAAAGGAATATAGACAATTATCTAAACAATATTATACTGTTCCGATCCGAAATTAACACAACGAGTTTCCAGTTTTGGAAGAATCCGTCATTCCAGTCAAGTATACGAAGTTACCGAGAGGTACCGAATCCGAAATTACTGTAGCCATATTAATTGTCAATTTAAACAGCACATTTACAGCTCAGAAGGAAACATATAAACTCCAATAAAGTACAGAAAATAGGAATTATAACAAAATACAAATATTAACATCCCAAATTAAGACTAAACAGAGTACCAAAATATTGAACAGAAAGATTCATCAAGATCATAACACAAGTATAAACATGGAGGGATTTTCCCTAAAACGAAGCATTCAAAATGGATTATACAATGTGAATGTGTAGCCACCAGGTCTAGTTGATAAATGAAGTTAGTGATGAAGATCTCAGCCATATTTAGGTTTGTGAGATCTTCGCCATTAGGACATTTGAGAGAACACGAACGCTGATTCGTAGGTTTTCTTTTTTTCATGAACCTTAGCAAATGCTTAGGGTTTGCCTGTATTTTGACAGTGAGCTTCATCTGAAAGCGTCTTTGATATTGTTTCTGTTTCTAAATGCCGAGTAAGGGAAAAAATCGGAAATCTTCACAGTGGTCATGCATGGTTAGCCTTCACCATCCCCGTAGCAATGGGATATGTAGAAGATTCTCTCTCATGCGCATGTAATTTTCCGTAGTATAGCAGAGGAAGGGTTCATTCTTGTCCTGTCTTAGTGTTTCTTTTATTACTGAGCCATGGTCAGTACTTCCTATAGGTGTATAGACGAGAACATCCTCGACCAGGAGCTGATCATTTGTTAACAAATGATCCAAGTTTTAGGATTCGGCGCTGCATACATGCTCAGTCACCCAGAGTTTCTGATGGCCAAGAAAAGTCATCTTTGGAACTAATCAGTGGGAGTTGTACTCTGTTTGCCGAGATTTAGAAACTAGGTGTTGAAATCTCCAGCTGAGTGTTCGATCAAACTCAAGGAGTGGCAGCTGCAGTAGTGTGTCGGTCAGTTTATCTTTCTGAACAGGTAAATTCCTGCAGTTAGGCATTTCGTGCCATTGGTGTGAAAACACCAAATGATTCTTTCACCTCTGTTAGTTGAGCGTCGTGTAGTCTCCCAGCTTTGAAATGGCTGTTTATATATGTAGCCACTGCGCTTCCTAAATTGTGTACCCCATCGCTTCGGAAGACTGTCATGCCTGGCAAGCTCACTTCTTCGTCTGCAATGTCAGGGGATAGTTACGTTTCAGTTAGGATTATGATCTTCAGATCCATCTGAGAGCACTTATTCCTAATTTCTAACAGCTTACTCCTTAGTCCTCTTACGTTGCTATAGAGGCACTTGGTGGTTTGCCTCAGCACCTGGTGCACTTCTGCAGCAGCAGCCGTTGTCGGATTTTCAAACAAGTTATTCAAACTGAGTTGGCCAGTTCTGTGGGAACCGGCCTCTGCAGGTTTTTTGCCTGTGCAGTGATTTCAATCGCGTCTTGTGCCAGGGGTTCTTGACTGAGGTCAACTGTCAGTTTTGTGCGTTCATTGTGGCCTCCCCCGGCTTTCGCGACACCTAGTATGTCTAGAGAGGTCGTTTTTAAAGTTATGCCAATCCTGAAGAGCCTAAGTAGTGTCTTCCGGATTTCTGAAGTCAGTAGCCATCTGACGTGGAGATTGAATGTTCGCGCTGTGTGATGGACGAGACAGTTACTTACTTACTTACTTACTTACGCCTGTTACCCCCAATGGAGCATAGGCCGCCCACCAGTTTTCTCCAACCAACTCTGTCCTGGGCTTCCCTTTCCAGTTCTGTCCAATGTTTGTTCATTCCTCTCATATCTTTCTCTATTTCTCGGCCTAATGTGTTCCTTTAACTTCCTCTTCTCCTTTTACCTTGAGGGTTCCATGTGAGAGCATGTCTCGTGACGCAGTTGTGTGCTTTTCGTAGTGTGTCCTATCCACTTCCACCGCTTCTTCCTGATTTCCTCCTTCACTGGAATCTGGTTTGTTCTCTCCCACAGTACGTTGTTGCTGATGGTATCTGGCCAACGAATACGAAGTATTTTGCGTAGGCGGCTGTTAATAAACACTTGTATCTTATGGATGATGGCTTTGGTAGTTCTCCATGTTTCCGCTGCATACAGTAGAACTGTCTTCACATTTGTATTGAAAATCTTGATTTTGGTTGACAGATGTTTGGAGTTCCAGATATTTTTCAACTGTAGAAATGCAGCACTTGCTTTGCCAATCCGATCCCCCACATCTGCATCGGATCCACCTTGGTTGTCGATGATGCTGCCAAGATATGTAAAGTTGTTAACGTCCTCCCAGGCATCTCCATCAAGAGTGATTTGGTTGGTGCATGTTGTGTTGCATCGGAGAATTTTGCTCTTTCCTTTATGTATGTTGAGACCCACTGCTGCAGAGGCTGCTGCTACACTGGTCGTCTTCTCTTGCATTTGTTGTTGCGTAAGCGATAGAAGAGCCAAGTCATCTGCGAAGTCCAGCTGCGTCCTAACTGTCCAGTTGATACCGTGCTTCCCTCCAAATGTTGACGTTTTCATAATCCAGTCGAGACAGTTATGAAGCAATAATTGCCACGACGGTGTGAAGCCCCATGCCAGGTGATAGCCATCGCTACTGTTGCACATCATACGAGTGAGCTTCGTATAAGCCACCGCCAAACAGTTCCGGCCGGACATGAACTACCATACTGGTTTGCTCTTGGGTGCCATGTGATGTCTGGGTAGCTGCTCGTACTGGTTTGTCATGCCTGACTCGGATCGGAGAGGACAACTTAACGGAGGGTCTCTGGGATGTGGGGGTTGATATCTTCGGAAAGTTTTACCGAGTCTAGAGTTACCCTCAACAGAGTGTGTTTCCTTTCTGAGACCTTCTGACTTTTGAAAAGACGGCATATTTTGGACGGTTTACTGCACAGTCCGAGGATTGCGTAGTACTTGTCCGATTGTTCTCAATCAATGGCAGCCCGACATTCTAGTAGCTACCCTCCGATACTAGAAGATATAAGTTGAAGAGGAAAATAAGCGAGATGATTTTCCAAGGACGAAAATAATAATTATAAAATTGAGTAAACATATACTACTCAAGAATAGCACCTGAAAGTTACCCAAAATTGCGGCGTTAATTTGACTGTTCTAGTAGGCGATTTAGTGTGGATCCAGTAACTTTTCCACAAACCCTGTGTTTTCGAGTGAATTAATGTATTTGTACTGTCGAAGAACTAGGAAGAGAGAAGTCGATCCAGACAGCTAGATCTACCTCACAGTACTTCTGACTTGGAATGGAAGAGTTTATATATTCATGAATGATCAAATGTCCAAATATGGTGTAGAAAACTGGTTTGTTTCTTGTAAATGATGGGAGGTCAAAGAGTACACGTCAATTTCAAAGCGCGCGGTAAGTTCATCGTCCAAAATCAATAAATTGTGATTTAATATTAATAACCTGGATAAAAGTATGGGCTTATTTTAACAACATCATCATTAATTAACTGCTTTTTTGCCTCGGTTTCGGTGAGGAGTGAGGTGTTACATCATCGGAAGAATGTTGATAGCTATCAATATCTACTTCCTAAAGAACTGCATTTACATCCATATGTACAAATAAATCTGAAGAAAAAATGTTTGACGGTTAGGTCAAGCTCGCTTTTTACGAACCTATGTGACATATTCAGTGGGTGATTACTGAACTAAGAATTAATCACAGAAGTTCTATTACTTTATGTACTTCATGCAGTCAGGTTTCAAGATTAACCCTGACAGAAAAATCGCCTCGACATGATTATGTTACTGAAGAATGGAGGTTACCAAACAGAACGTGGCATAACCGAAACGAAATTTGCAACTTTCTTGATTTGACCGCTTCTCGAAGACCCTATGAGTTGTTGACCTGACGCACCAATCGTCTTATGACAGTTTGACCTTCTAGTGCTCAGCGACCTCCGGCGATCAAAGATGCCACTAGGTCAACGCTGTGCTGAACCAGTGATTCGTGACTTTGTAACCATGACTTCGAACATATAGTGTTGTAATTATTCAAGGTAAGTATTTCATACACGCCGTACTGCTAAGTGTACTACGCTTACTATAATGAGAATTCTCAGTACTGGAAGCCGTAGAAGTTTTATATACCAGTCAAAGCTGTTCTATCTTGACCTATTAAGAAATGAAACTTGTGTCCTCTCTATCCCAATCTTTTGTATGATATTTTTACTGCTGCGTAGGCTGAATCCAGCTCAGTCTATCGAGAGTAAATACTGCATTCGTGTACTAGTTTAATATATTCTGAATATCAGCTTTGATTTCGTGGATAAACTACTTATTTTCCTAATCAAAACTTCGTTGGTAATGACTGTAGTATAAATAAAAATTTTTAAGCAGTCTCTCAAAATTATTAGGATTTATGAACTGAGGGAATGCCGCCGAGCACAATCGTTGGAAAAAGTCCACAGGAATTTCATGAAATATTGTGATGACAACTCGTTGAGAGTTTAGTCCACTATCGCCATAAATTCACTTTGAGTCGATGTGTTCCCTTCTTCTTAAGTCACACTGACAAATAGTATGTTCCCAAAAGTAGCATATTACAATAGCGGCTTCTGTATGAACTATCTGTGGTATGTTTTCCAATAAAGATTGTAACATCTAGACTGGATCATACTGTTAGACCTCAGTTATGGTGCTGAAACTCCCGAATTAAAAGATACATCTGGTCACCAAGCGCCTCTCAATATCTTTCCGTCGGTTGTTTTCAAATACCCGAGACTAAGTACATCATTATGCACATCACAGGATGGCAAACGAAAAATTTGTATATAATCATCAGTTTTATATGTGTTTCATATTTGGTAGCATTACTTATGTTCAATAAAAATTATTTTGGGAAAGTGGTTTAAATAATTTTCATTATTATTTCAGTAGCAAAATGCCTGATCCTTCCAAATCAGGTAAGCATATTAATAACTTGTTTTGGTTTCCTTATATTATATGACTGAAAGTGTGTTTCATGTGTTACCGTTTCCTTAAGGAATTATTGAGTTCACTTCCAGTCATGCATCATTAGCCGTTGCAAAATTATTAGGGGAAATAATTTGTAAACGCTTCATCGCTGGTTCATCTAATGAACCTGGGGATCTCGAGTTCTGTTGGTGTAAGGGTAGTTAGTGGTCTTTGTCATCAACACGGTGGAACAATACTTTTTTGTGAAGCGCCTGATTAGAAAACGTTTTTTACTGTTCTTTACTGCCTGGGAGGGTGACAGCAGAGCCTAGAAACAATTGCTGTGTTGGTCATGTAGCCCTTTTGTGTGGAGTACTTGGTCTTT